GACACATTCTGTTCCTGAAATTTTGGAGGGCAGTGTATTTTTATTAAGGTAAAACAGTATGAAAATGAGAAAATTCTAGCAGATATATAATTCAACTGAGAATCAATCAAAGAAGAGAAAAAACTGTCCTAAACAGGGCTGACTCCAAAATGTTTTGCCAAGTTACCATAAACCTATGATAGTTAAAAAAAAATGATCATATAACATCTATTTTTAAATGTATCTCGTAATATTTGCATAAATTTAGAGATTAATTTTAAGAAATCAGTGAAATACTGCTGAAAACTTAAATCATGCTAATACTTAAAATTTATTTTAGAGAATAATACATATTTATCCTGTATAACAGAATTCATTAAATGCATTAGTACTTTTCTTAAACAAAGGTTAGGTTAGGTTATTTAATTACGGCAAAGCCTCGAGGGCTATCTGCCTAAGAGGAGGCATGCCTTCGTGGAGGACTTTCTAAGAGAAACTGGCTTGTATACACGTCACACACGGGGAAAACCACAAAAACACGCATGCAGCCAGCCCGTTCGCGGAATTCGAACCTCGGACCGAACTACCAGTGTTCAGCGACTTTACTACTCAGTCGCTGGTGGGCCCTTAAACAAAGGTGCAAAGCTAAATAAGTAATGGTAATACATAATAAAAACAAAATTGGAAAAAATTTGACACAACTTCTCATAATATTACAAATACCAATGTATTTTTCTGAGATACTTATCCTGGAAATGTATTTTCCTGTAATATTTCTTTTTTTCTAGCATCAACTTTTACACCAATTTTCACTTTTAATTATAGTTTTCAAGTTTTATACAGTCAAAAGTCATTAATTCGGACACCCATAATCCGGACCTCAAAGCTAAAAACTTTCTGCGCATGCGGTGCGTTGGCACATGCACACAGGCGTTTTACGCGTGCGCGTAAGACCTTGACTACTGCGCATATGCGTGTGCGCAAGTGCAGAATACGTTTTCGCCTGCGCGTTTAATGTATAACGGACAGTATAAGCTAATTATCTATTTCAGTTAATGTTAAAGATTGCGTTGTTCCTTAATCATCGAAATGGATCCCGCTTATTATTTTTTGCAGACTGTAAGAGCAATTTTATAAAAGTAAACTTGAAATTTCGATTACGTCAAATAGAATTTCCGATGCTGGAACTTCCAAAGGATCTACAAAACGAAAGTATGTTTCGATGTCCAACATATAAAAAGTGGAATTGCTCCAAAAAATGAATAAAGACATGAAGAATGTGACAGAGAGGTTAGTGAAAACTAAAAAATTTTGATTGACAAGTTAGTCAGTATTCTCGGCACAGCAATTAACGGGACTTGAACAGCGGAACTTTGTAACTGAACAAGAAATTATGTCTGTTTATAGAATTAAAGAGAAAGTATTATCACATAAAACGAAGCAACTTAAACAACTTACATTGAAAGAAATGTTTAATAAAGTAAACAAATAAATAAATATTAAGCTTTTTTGGTACTATTCGGTTTTGAGGACCGTAAAAAATTGAAGCGAAAATGTATGCGCAAAAGCGCCAAATCTAGCAAACACGGCCATTTAACAGTGCGCCAAATCTAGCATACGTGCTGATTTCAAATTACGTAAATTTATATAGTTCTATATTTCTTAACACGCCGTTGAAATACTACTTTAATTTTAAATTCCTTTTTAATTATCCGATGGATTTAACAATTTGGGAATTGCCCATGACGAAAAGTCGGCAATAGAATTTTGGCTTAAAGTGCAGAATCACCCATTGTTTGACGCATTTTTAAGAATTGCACATACTTGGTATCCATGTGCACATCAATCTATTTTCACTTAAAAAAAATCCCAGAATTGCACAAAAATGGCACTGCACACACCCATAGCTTTATCTCTGTACACATCAACCTATTTTCACTTAAAAAGTAAAAGAAAATTGACAAAAATTCATTTGTTTTTACCCTTGTAAAAAGCGGCAAACAAATAAGTGAGGGATTCTGCACTTTACCGAGAATATTTTCAAAGAAAAGGCATCATTCATTATAGAAAATTACGTTTGAACAACCAACGAGATGAAATTATGCTTGAGCCATAAGTCGGTAGCGAAATAGCGATGCAGGCATCCATTCAGTTATGTTTTGCAATTTTTATATAAATTAAAATAATGATCTGAAATAGTTATTTACTCTTATGCTTCCATTCAGTCATGTTTAGCCTTTTTTGTATAAATTATAATAATAAAAAATAAATTATATGAAATTAACCTTTCATCTAAATTGAAAGATCAGTCTTTGATAGTTATTTACTATTATACTTCCTTTCCTGCCGCAATTATTTTTGGCAGCATTGGCATCAACAATAGTTTGGCGATTTTTTATGGCCCTGGAAACCGAATAGTACCGCTTTTTTTTTTTTTTTTTTGTAAATTTTGATACCCTTTAGATCATAATTGTTCTTTATTTCGTAAATTACGGTTTCATATTTCTAATTTATAATTTCTGCATGCCATCTTATGAGATTTAAACTGATGACCTATAATCCGGAATCGCCGAAGTCCCGACGAGTGCGGATTAACGACTTTTGACTGTAGATATAAAACTTTCGTCAATCCACAACAGCACTAAATTTCAGTTTTTACATTTTTATTTAATAAATATGCAAAATTAAACCCTCAGTGTCTATCAAGGCAAATTAAAAAAAAAAAACGACTTGGCTTTTTCCACTGTCGCATGCAAATAATTTCTTTTTGGGGGATGATCAAAGAAAATAACTAAATAACATGAGGCACTATAGAATTAATCATAATTTTCTTGTTTGTAAAAAAAGAAGCTATTAATAATGTAATAAGTCCAGAGGGGCAATCTGCCCAAGACTATTAATTTTGTTTGCATTTTCCGTTGGTTCACTACATGCGTTTTCACTTTTCAAAATGTTGCCACCAAATTATAACCCTGCATTATATTTAATGAAATAAAATAATGAAGAATCTGCAAAAAAGTATGTATGTTTCTTGCATTGTGATAAAACAACAGTACCTAGAGCCATCAAATTTTGAATAATCCTCCTGCAAGTTTGGCATCTGGAAGCCCAAATTCGAAATTTGTTTTGTTATCAATTTCATATTTTGTAAAATTTTAATGAATTTCTGGTTAACATACTCAAGGATTTCAAAGCGAGTAATGGCAACATTGTACAGAAAAAAAAAATAATAATAATAATTAATCTCCAGCGCACAAGACTGTGTATTGGAAATTCTAAAGATACTCATTTCAAAATTATTTTGCGATATTGCTCTTGAACTGAATTTTATGGTTTACGTATGAAGAACATAATATTTAATAAATAAAGGTAACACACAAAATATTTTTTAAAAAAAGCCTCTTTAAAAGTAATTTAAAATCTGAAATCTTTCTTTTTTTTTGGGAGGGAGGGTAAAATTCGAGGTCTTTGAAATATTTTTGAGGGACATAAATGCACCATTCAGATAAGTTTTATTAAGAATACACATTTCATTTTTCCAAACAATTAGCTACTATTGGTTATTTCATAAAAATATTAAACCTGAAAATAATACTAAACACATCCAATAAATAGAAAAACTACAAGTTAATAAACTGATATACAGGGTACCAATTACCAGGAAGTCCCCCTATGCAGATCTCAAGACTTTCAAGTATAAGATAAAGGGTAGGTCAATTTACACATAATTGAAACTTAAGAAGATTGACTTCCTGTAAACTAGTGGAAGTTTTCACTAAAAAATTTTCTGTGTTTGTGCTTCAAAATTTTATTGATTTATTCCCTTTTAGTTTAATTATTCCTTTACAAAATCTATTAATGAAGCAAGCTATACTGCATGCCTTTAATATAAGTACAATAAAAAAAGGAAACAAACACACAATAAAAGACACATTAAACCGCATAATACAGTTATTCAATTTGACATAAATATATACAACATATTACATCCAATTCCCGGATGATCAACTATTTCTAATCAACAAATGAACTGTTAAAGAAAATTTTATTATTCTGTTATGTTTTAAAGTGGGTTTATAATGTGCGCTTCACTTTAATTATATTTAAAATCTTTCCAACTTAAGAGATTTTTAAATGATTATTTCAATGAAATCCAATTCATTCCAGGTTAGTTTAATGTTCCTTTAGACAGGGGGAAGAAAAACTGCAACCCTTAAAAGATACCCTTAAAGATAACAGGATAAAAGAAAATAAACTCACTTAAAATTAGTTAATTAACCAAAGATCTAGTTTTTAATACATGAAAACTAAATATATAGAGAGAACACAAAGCTATTTGTGTCACTTATGTTTTAAATTCTCTAAGAAATATAAAGAAATCAACAGCTCTAGTTCGAATTTGACATAATCATACTTCTACTTTGTTTTGTTTACATTAACGAATGTTGACAGTTCAAATATTAATGTAAGTTAAATCAAATGTCGTATGAGCTCTTCACTTGAACACTAATGTCATTTTTCCTTTTCTGATCGCATTTGTCATTTAATAAATTAAGAGTAATTCTCTTTTTTTTTATTTTAAGACAAATATAATTCAAGGTTTAACATACTTGAATCGATACTTCATTTTTTTTCAAATAATCCATCAATCCTAACGACACCATACTATTTATACTAAGAACTACCGGCTGTCCTTGTATAACACATAACTGCATCACGTGCTGTTAGACAGATTTACGGAGATGGTTCTAACAAAAGACTGCGCAGCCGCCATGTTATACAATTTCGAACCTTCGTACTCACCAAATTTCAATCACTTTTCCAAAGATGCTATACATTCCATCTGTACATATACGGTCACTATTTTCTATATTAAGTTTCTAAATAACTTAAATCTTCATCTATTCCAACAAACTAACCCTATATATTCAATATTTTTCAATTCAACGCTAAAATCTTCCCAGCCTCAGAATTTTCCTCCAATTCGGCAAATGGCTGCCTAACAAATGCTCCCATACGACTTGTGCGCATGCGTCACTTTCGACCATAGTCTGGCCAAGCGTACCAGTTACTTTACGGGCGAATGAAATATGCGATTGTCTGAAAAATATAAGTTTACCAAGGAAGCATGGATATAAAATATATTATAAAATCATTTTTGGAGAGTAAAAAAAATTCTAACGTAATTTTGGAGCTAGAGGCATCTCTGTTGGTAAGATCTAAATCAAATGTTATCTTTTAGTAATGGCAAGATGGCACAAATTATTAACTGGTTCATCGATCTGAAGTGTGATTTATTATATAACTTATAATAGCATTCTCTTGAGAATATATATATATATATGTATATTATTTTGCTATAATGATTTTTTAACACAGTTGGTTTTTATCTTGCAATGAAACGATATGTTCATTGTAAAAAATTGCATTTTGCTTATATTTTTATAACTTTCTTCATCTAATTTGAAAGAAACATTCGGAACCTATTTATTTTTCACATCTAATATAAACGTTGTTAACGTGAGTTATATTTTATACCCTTTTGCTTTATATAACACTCATTTTAAAATAATTAGGTTTATCATCCAGCGTTAGTAATCCACTGACATGTTTACAGTAATGGTCAAAGATTTTAAGCTTTCTATCTATTCAAATATCGCCGTGATTTTCGCCCAAAGCAAGACGTGTCCGGCTCTATAATATAATGCTATTTTACCACATCACATACATGTTTGTACAAATGCGTTTCCAATGGGAAATCCAAAAATGAGAAAAATTTTATGACCATAAACCCATGAGTCTTGGTGAAAAGTACAGAATCACCTTTTGCTTGGCACGTTTTTAAGAATTGCACGTACTCATTATCCATGTTCACATCGACCAATTTCCACTTAAAAAATCAGGTGACCAGACAAAAGTCCACTGGACGAAAGCGCACGCGACAAAAGCCCACAAAAAAGACCCCACTGGGATAATTGCCCCACGCGACTAATACCCACACCAATGAAAGCACGCATTGATAAAATCCCACATAGATATAAGTGAACGCTGATAAAAGCCCACATTGACAAAAACCCACACCGCTATATATGCTACATTAAAATTAATATTTTTCCCTTTTTTTCTCAAAATAAAAAATAATAACAAATAATTGAGCAATAAATTTAAGTAGTGGAACACATTTCATTTTGGGCTCTGGCTGAATTAAAATCCCATATGTACATAGAACAGAGTCAGTCAAAATAATATAATTAAAAACATATACATGTATGTGTAACTTTGTTTTTATGTTTCCGCGACAAATGGAAGTTACCTCGTATAAGTCCGACAAAGGGAATACTGGCCACACTGCTTCTTTTAATCGTACAAAATTACAAGGAGTATAAAATGTATGTAAATTTTCATCAAATATAGAGAATAATTTAACACTGAAGAAAATTTTGCATTTAATATGGAGAATTAAAGCCGAACTCTCATTTCAACGAAAAAAAATAAAAGTACTATATTCTGTTATGATTAAGAAAACATTTGTGTGCGCTATCATAAACACTGTTTTAATAGTGAATTAAAAGCACAGTTTCAAATAATTTAGTTAAATTTTGACAACTTGGATAAATTAATTTCATTTTTAATCATAATAATTATTCGTAAAACTTTTCAGGAAGTCATAGCTATTTTGGATTTCGTGAAAATGTGTGCTGTTTTTAAGTGGGCATTCGTCTTGTGGGCTTTTGTCATGCAGTTTTCTAACTGGCCACTGGCTATTCAGGTGGGAAAGCATTGCGTTCCTTTTCTTTTGCCACCAGCTGTGTGAAAAAGCAGTTAAAGAGAGGAGAGCCTTGCTTAATTGCTTTATTCCCTATCAAACCTTAAATTAATAAATTAAAGAAGATTTTAAATGTTTTTGTTAGTTACTAGAAAATAACAATATCTGAAATTACGCTTGTAACTGAAGTTAACCCCTTTCTTGCATTTCTTTAGTCTAGTTCTTAAATAGCGTTTTATCTAAAGATTTAATTAAAATTTCAATAACTGGAAAACGAAAGGAATTAACTATTTCTTAACCATTTTTAAAGGGATAATTCACTAAGTAAAACTGCAGAGTGGAAAAATATGCTAGTTCCTGATTCGATAGTGTCTCTACAACTTTTTGATGAACTAATTAAACATGTTTGTTATATCGAAGCAAAGCCATTGTTTAAAAGTAAAACTACTGAACTATTTCTAAAAAAAATAAATTATTACATATAATAACATTTATGTATAAGTAATATATGTATAATAACTATGAAATCATACAAAAGTTTAACTATTCGAATAATTTTAATAACAAAGGTTTCTGAACTCAAGAACAAGAGGATTTAAGAACCATGAGCCCAGCGTTGTAAGAAAAATAAACTTGCACATTAAACTAATTTTTATTTCAATAAAAAATATGATATTACTTGATTATTCAACACTTATGATATTAAACGCTTAAAAACAGTTCATTTTAATTTACCATAATTTTTCATATGCAAAAACGGTACAACTCTGATATATGCCCTAATTTCACCAAATGGGGCGATATGCGCTGGTTTTTTCCGCGATTGCGTGTTGTATGGCAACCCTGTTGACGTTGAAAAATCTTTCGCTGGAGCTCGTTGGTTCGCGAAGATAGGGGGAAAGATAAAATGGTTGAAGTTGCTGAATTGAAATTCGGCAAAAGGAAAATATCATCGTGGCCATCCTGTTGAGGGGCAGTGGGTATTTGGAGGTGTGGAAAGAGGGTCTGGGAGATTATTTTTAGTGGCTGTGCATGACAGAAGTCGGGATTTGTGATTTTATTTATTTGTGAACCATAATATGAATTTTCTGGATAGTGTGCCTGCCTGTCACGTAAATACGATAGTGATTACGTGGCGGTATGAAGTTGGTATTTCTGCTGTTCAAAAAAGCATTAATTTATGGTAAGTGCATTTTATTTTATTCTTGTTCTTATTTTGTAGAATTGTTATGTTCATTGTTTTTTTAGTACGAATTTCTGTCGTTATTGTTTTTTTTTAATTGTTTGAAATTTATTTTAGTTATATTAGTTTATTTAGTTGATTAGTGCAATTCGTAGACTGTGCAATTTGTAGATGTTTTTTTAAAGTTGAAATAGAATGCTGTGTACATGGTATTCTTTGAAATTTATTGTTGTTATGTTAATTTATTAAAGCCAGGTGTGAGTAGTTCGTAGATTCGTTCGTTGCCTAGATTGTGCCATTCGTAGATGTTTTTTTAAGTTAAAACATATCGCTGTGTACATGGATTCTTGTCAAATATTTTTGGTTAGAAACTTTGCGTTTTTGCTATCTAAATTTTTCGTTTTTGTTTCGTATTTTTAGCTTAAATTGTGTGTTCAAAACGTGGTTTTTGCATGTGCAAAAACCGCGCTTTTGGAGACATTTTAGGCTTAAAGTTCGAAACGTAGACAAAAAATTTAGATAGTAATATGGCAGCATGGAGCGCATATCAGAGTAGTTCCGCAAAAACTTTCAATGAAGCAAATTTAAGCAGCATTTACAAAGTGAACTTTACTGGAACACTTCTTTTGTGGATTTTATGCTGTTATTACATGTTGAATATTATTTTGCCTAGATTAAGAAAAAGAAACACGTAACATGTAAAAATTTATTGTTTAGAAATATTCTCAAATTAAAGTAATTTTCTTCACCTCTAAATGCATTGTTTTCCCTTATATGAATTTCATATTCTGACAATAGAAGTGACAGATTCTGACAGAAATAGTTTCCACATAACGTGTTGGAGATATTTCTTATAAACCTCGTGTGTTGGCGATCATGTAGAAAAAATGCTTAATTATGGAGCTACATTTTGAATAATTTTTTCCCTTATTGAATGACTTCAAAAGTTTTTAATATCTTGTCTTCTAGAATGAAATGTTTCACAAGTTTTTAAGGTTCTTTCCTAAGAATAATTCATTAAGCAGAAGTTAGTAAGAATGAGTAAGGTATACAGTAAGACCCCGCTTAACGCGGGGGATACGTTCCATCGAAGTAGAGCGTAATGCGAAACAGCGCTAAGCGAGGCTGTCTTAACATGTAAATAATGGGGTTAGGGGAAGACGAATAAAAATGGTTAGGCATTAAATTTAATAATGTTTTTTTTTAATAAAAATAAAATCAAACATTTATTTCTTACAAAAATAAAAACAATATAAATGCATATACTTTTAAAAACAAATAAAAATTGTCAGTCAGATCATTCAGTCTATTCTGGGTTTCCAATTTTCTGCCTTTTTGTCAAGAAGGCATTATGATAGATTGGCTTAATGGCATATTGCGTTCAAGGTTGATCTTTACATTATGGTAACTTGGCAATTTTTTGGCAAAAATTTGGCAACCAACTCTCCTACAGCAACCCTCTATTTTTTTTCCCCTCCGCCATTTTGTCTTCACGAAGTAAAGACATGATTCTTTTCGTCTTATCTACTGAACACTTCTTCCAACAGTCTACTAGCCGAATTACACTTATGCTAGAAATTTTATCAAACAAAACTGCTTAATCATGACAAATATTCACTGCAAAATTGGGAAAAAGTGCACAATACCATACACCTTACGCGTTTTTCAAAATAACACATACACATAAACCATGTACACGCCAAATTATTTTTACTTAAAAAACCATCCCAGAATTGCACAAAAATGGCATTGCGCGCACTCTTCACTATATCCATGTACACTGCTTTTTTCTCATAAATTAGAAAAATTTCACAAAAATACATGACAATTTTCTCAATCTTTAAACCCGGTAAAAAGAAAATATATGAAATTACCTGATCGCCGAAAAGTATTTACCCTTTACAAATATGAACATTTCCGCATATAAAATAAATAAAATATCCAAAAACTTTTACCTCTAAATCATCTATTACATTATACACGTCACCAACGAATTCATACCGCAAGCATTACAAATACTTAGTATCAAATATTTAAATTATTTCCATGCACGTTTATTTCAACTTAAACGTATACCAAATTCCTACAAACATAAAATTCACAAAATAACTATCATTTAATTAAAATATCACTAAACCATGTACACGTCGACTTATTTTTACTTAAAAAAACATCCCAGAATTGCACAAAAATGGCATTGCACACACTCTTCACTATATCCATGTACACTGCTTTTTTCTCATAAATTAGAAAAATTTCACGA